TGTGGCGCGGCGGCTGGCTGAGGGGAGTCCGGCTGGAAGCAGCTCGTCGCCCACCTGAGCTGTAATTAATGACTTTTCCTTGCGAGGTCAAGGCAGTCTTCTTCGCATCGCGCTAAGGAGTTTAAAATGTCAGGAGTGGCGGTAGTCAGCACCAATGTACGTGCGTTATCAGAAGGCCTGTTTAGCAAAACGTGGCCACGTTTCTTATTTTTCCTTGCTTGGCTTTGTGACTTTTCTGAGCGGAACTGCACTTTGAAAAGCTGCTCTGTGAAGCGGTCTGCATCAGTTATTGTGAACTCAGTCAGGAGCCTTAATGGATTTTCATGAGTGAAGCAAGATGGAGATGGCCAGCTCAGGAAGTGTGCTGTAATAACAGACCTTTCTTTCCAATTAAATATTTTTCTTACAGACTTGGTAAAATGTAAAATGACATAAAAATTCATCTAAATTATCCTTTCCCACAGAAAACCAAGGTAGTGGAACACTTTAAGAACTGTTTCAAAACAGGAAGCAATGCGGTTAAACATTTTAATACTTCAGCTCAGTGGAAGGTGCAGAGGTGCCAGAGCATACCTGGAAATGGAGAGTGTGTTATGATTTTCTGTACATTACTGCACACAGGCCTTTGCAAACACTGAAATAAATATAGCTGGTTTGGTAAATCGTGTTTTCCAGGCTTCTTGGAACACCAGTCTAGAACAAGTCTCTTCAGGACAGCTTCTTTGAAAACAGAGCTGATGAAGTCATGCAAAAATTTGTTGGGAAAAAAGAGCTTGTTCATTTCCAGTACAGAAAATCACTAATAAGTAATAATGTTTAATATCTTTTAGCATATAAACACATCAGAGTTGTTCATTACCCTGCTAACTCAGCAAGAATTGCCAACCTCCTAGTTCCAAGAACTGGAATTAGGTCTGCTGAAGTCAGTGGAGCAATAAAAGTGGAAGCATTGCTGTCTATAGTGCGTATTATAAAATCCCAGATATCCACGTAAGACATTTTATCATGTTTTTTTTTTAAAGGAATTATTCTGGAATATGTACAAGGTGGTGAGCTGAAGACCAGATCTATAGATCTACTTGATCTTAGACCTGAGTAAGTATGATATTATTTCAGCTAACAGCACTCTGCTGTTTTATAGCATACTCATATACAACTCTGCTTGATTGTTTTAAACATAACTGAGGTCAGCTATGTCTTTGTTCACTAAAACACAGATGCAGAAAAGAAAACAACATAGTCAAATCATTCTTCTATTATTTTAAACACAGAATCTTGCATTCCAGCTGATTATTACCGTCATGCTTTTCTGTTCAGAGGCGAAGCCTCTTTTTGCTTGTAGAGTTATGAATATCAAGATGCCTGCCGACAGAAATATACAGCGCTTAACGTTGTAATGTTCTGATGAATGACAGTTAGTTCTTAGGTCCTGTAACAGTATTTCTGGTCTTCAGGATGTTTTCAAACAGTGGGTCTAACTCAGCCCCCAGTTAGATTGGTTTAAATGACCTCTGTTGAAATCACTGAAAACAACAACTAGAAATCAGTTGAGATCTCTCCTGTTGATTAATTAATCCTCATAACAACCGTAGGTAAGGTGGTGTAAGTTAGGCATCTAAGTGATTCCCTCCTGTATGTTTGTGTGCAGAAATTAAGTATCTGCTTCTGTTGCAAGTAATGGAAGTTTTCCTGTTTCTTTTGTTGCTGAAGGGACATTTTGAGACCATCTAAAGTGCGGTCAGCTAGAGCAGGTTGACCAGGACCATGTGTAGTTTAGTTCTGAATATCTCCCAGATGGAGACGCCACAACCTCTCTGTGAAACCTATTCTGTTGTTTGAGCACCCTCACAGCAAAAAATCTATTTTTGTGTTGAGGTTGCATTTTGGGGTTTTTGTTTGTTTGTTTGTGCTCCTTGATGCTTCTGCTCTAAGTGGTCAGTACTGAGAAAAGTCTGGTTCCCTCTACTTCGTTTTCTCTCGTCAATTATTTGTACATAGGAAAAATATGGAACACTTCACACATGAGCATGTGATATCTAGTGGATTTTTTCACAGAACTTTCTGGCTGGCATCAAACACCTTGGAAAGATTATCAAGATTTATGCAGTTCTAAAATTGTTTCTTCTGCTTTCCTCCAGCTAATGTCTTCCTGTAGGCACCCAAAAGAAAAAATTAAAAGAAAGCTGAGAGCCTTAATATGGCCTTGGTCATAGCAGTCAGCCTACATGTTCTACTCGCCCAACTGTGGTAGGCAGAGCTTCAGAAAGAGGAAAAAAATGCCACCATTGAATAAAGCTGCTAAGATCCATGGAGTTCATTAGGCAGAAGGGCATGAAGTAATGTGATTGTCTAAATATTGACATTGATATGGAAGAGTCCTTGAATGTGGGCCAAAGTTAGTAGACAATGTAGGCTGCATATGCAAGACAAAAAATCCAAATTTATAAATTATTAATTTTCATCTACCTGGAAATATCCAGCTCAGTACTCTGGATAAAACCTAATGATCCACTTTATGCAAGAAAGAAGTTGGCTGGTGTTACTTAACAGGAGTGTAAATACTGAGAGGACACTAATTTGTGGGGACATTAGTGGCTCCCATTTAAAGGACTGATACAGAAAATCCCCTTTAGACTGGAATAACTTACATACTAACAGAAATGCTAGGTTTTCTTGTTAGAACCAATTTTAAGTGTATGTTGGTGCTTTGACTGCCGGGCATTGTCAACCCTCAGTTTTGCATGGATGGCCAGGAATCAGACTGCGGACCACGTTTTGGAAGTTACTATCATAACTGAGAATTATAGGAACAGACATAGATTTGTGAAGCCACAGACAGCCACACACTTTCCATGTAAAATTTTTCTTGTTGCTACTTCATGGGAAATTCATTGAGAATTTATGAAATTCCACTTTAATTTAGATATTTATTCCAAACCTATCAGTTTTGGATACACATCTCCCATGTCTGACCTCTGTGAAAACTCTTTGAAAAGGTAAAGTTCTTATCAAACTAAAATTTTTAGAAGTTAAATTTTACTGATCAACTTTAGTAAGAGAGGGAAGAAAGTATAGAAACCAAGAAAGATTTACCTGTATTTCTTTAAGCCCTTTCAGAATGAGATATGCACATGTCATTGAATTGTTTACTGCAGTTTCTCTACAAGTAGATAATGTTCTTACTTTTATAATTGTAATTATTGACAGAGGATGAAATCTGGTGGGCTTGGGTTTTTGGTTTTTTTTCTTTCTCATTATTAGCACAGATGCCATAGCCTTAGTAGAAGAAATGCGAAAAGGAGAACCTCTCATCACAGCTTCATGCAAGGAACACGTCATACATTTAGTACGAAGATTGCAAGAGAAGCTAGGGGAAAAAGAGGATCACAAGTTCTGTCTTTTTAAGGTCAGAGGCATCTTTAAAATAATGTGGGGGATTTTGGGGGGTTTCAGTTGTGACGTTGCCAGTATGTTTCTACTGCTGCATATTGTGCCTAAGAGCAAAATCTGGACTTTATGACCAATTTCTTGGCTCTTTTCAATCACTTCTGCACTGTTTACAGCGACTGAATCTGGCCTGGTTACGTCTGTCAGGAATCCCCCCAAAAGGCTGTGAGGTATAACTCTTCCTAGACACCGTTTACACAGGCTTGTGTACAAGAGAGTGTTTTGGATGGCGAGAAATAATTCTCTTATTTGTCAAATAAGACTCTGTGGAACAGCAACACCTATAGTTATGTTTAAACAAAAACTGTAAATAGACCCCAAATAAATTAGCTGCTGGGAGAGGCCCAAAATATTTTCTTACCCTTGTCTGCTTGTTCTTCATTTTGTGAAAATTGTCTTTATTTTAGGTATTCTGCTACATACAGTAATACTGGTTGTCATTACTTTCTGCCATTACTATTGTGTTCAAAAATTGGTAGTTTGATCTTCAGCTTACAGACAGCACCTTGTAAATGTATTTTAAATGAGTAAGATTTTTAAGAACAATTATTAGAAAGACCTTTCAGGACTTCAAATCCAGGATTCAGTCTATTGGAAGAGACTAGGTTTAATTGTATTTAGATATTGAAATACAATTAAATTGCTTCCAGAAATTGTATGTTGCAGTCTGAAATAATTGTGTTGTATCTTTATTGTGTCACCAGATGGCAATGTGTAGCTACTAAAAATTGCTGGTCAGTGCTGTGTTATTGTGACCTTAAATTTATAGAGAAAAGAGAGAAGTTTTGTCTTCGTTTGTTTGGCTGAAAAAAACCCTTACGTCTTGCTAGGTGTAACTTGGGTTCTTCTGACCAGCAGTACACATCTGGGTGAATTCTGCAAACATCTGTGCATTTAACCTTGAAAACAGAGCTATGTAATGAGGCGTCTTAAATTTAAAAATTTTCCGTTCTGTTTTAAGGTATGCTCTCAACTGAGATAATACCTTGCTTTTCACAACCTTTTAAAATTGTTTGTTCATCATGGAGACTGACAAATCATCAAATGCTTGTCCAAATTTCACTGTAAATATGCATTTGTTCTTTATGGAGGATCTTCTGTATTTGGAAATACTAGAAGGAGGCGAATCCAAGCAGTGCTGGCTTATTTCCTTCACTCAAGAGTAGTTAGAAGTGTGAAAAAACTTGTTTTGTATTTCAGTTCAATTTAATGCTTGTAAATGAAACATGAGTATAATGTGCTTCTGAGATACTAATACAATACAAGAAGTGGGTGTGATTGAGCATTTTTTTTTTCTCCAGACAATGTTCCATGTGTTTGCATTGTTTGGAAATGAATATTTTTTCCTCTTGCTCTGGGGCATAATCTTACATGAGTGTATAAACACAACTTTTTGTTATTTCCAGTAATTGTGGTGATGGTGGTGTGTGAGGCACCCTGCAGAGAAACCAGCTTTTGTAACCATTTCTCAGGTTTTAAACTATTATGTAGCAATGGTATGCTGTAGTGATTGGCAGATTTTTATCTAGGGACTGCTGCAGCAGATTTCTGAGAACCGAGGTACATTTTTTTAATATTGCCTTAGGGTTTGATTATTGTATCGTTTGCACAAGCAATTCTTGCTGGCTTAGAGTTCTCTGGATGAAGAAACTGCAGCACTTGGCATTGGAAGAACAGAACTAGTCCTGTGATCTGAAATTGAACATAAACCCATCTCGTTTTCCTGCCTTTTTTTCATAATTGTTCAAAGTGCTTGTTGTTCAGAGCTGCCTGCACAGACCTCTAAAATTGCCGTGGATCAGTTTTCCATAAATTTCCATAATTATCCATTCTTATTTGCAGATATTTGTATACTGTGGCTGTTTTAAAAAAAGCAAAATATATTTTTTGCCATCTCCACATCTTGATTGCCCATTTGCATTGCTGTAGCTGAAAGTACAGCTTGTCTCACTTTCTCTAGAGAACAGAAATTGCTGAAAAATGCCTTTTCTATTTCTTTCTCTCTCAGTCCTTCACTTGACCATTGTTATTTCTCTTCCATTTTGATCAGTCCCTACTCTTCTAAGTAGAAGATCTCTGAGTCCTTTCATTTTTCTTTTGGAGACAGGCAGCTGAGAAAGCTACAGATAAGAACAAAAAGTTGAAGCTCTGGTAATATGTCAGTAATTAAATGGCATTGCTTATAAATAATTGCTTCCTCATTCTTGTTCTACTGAGAGAACCTAGCGGCGCACTGCTATATTTTTAGCATCCCTTTGCTTCACTGTCACCAATTGCGGTGGTTTCCCAGGTTATGATTTTGTTATACTTTATAATCAAGCAGAAGCCAGCTTGTAATAGGTGAAAGTTGTTCAAATGCAAATCCTGTTACACAGTAGCCAGCTTATTCGAACACAAACCAGATTATATAATTTTTGGTCATTTTCAAAGTACCATGGCATGCTGACTTTCATTGGCAGCATCTGAAACCATTTTCACCTATGTTTCATAAACATTAATATGCGTTATTATGGGTATGAGATAATTTACATGAAACCTATACGGTGTCTGATTAAAGGACCTTAGAAGCAATGTTAGAAAAACAGTGACTTCCATAACCTAGACAATACAGGCAGACATCAGATTTCTAATTCCCTCTTTGAATTTTGTCTTGAGAAATATTTTTGTTATGGTTCTGCAGGTCTTTTTTGTCATGACTTCACAGGACATAGGTGTAGCTCATTTCTGTTCTTCCTGTTTTTTAAAACAAAATATACCAGCTGAAAGCATCCCACAACCTATAAGACTCAAAATACTCAGTTCAGCTGGATCTCTGGGTTCACTGTATAAGGCTTAATATTGGTTGAGATTTCTTTCATCAGTGATCTCACCCGGCATGGTTTCCTCACTCATTTGTTTTTGCCCTTTCACCTCTGCTCTAGGGTTACTTTGCTGAACCCAGAGAAGGTGGAGAAAAAGCAAACGTGGTGGAAAAGACAGTTCATTCAAGTCAAATATAAATTTGAAATCAATACTATATAATATCTGCACTGATAACCTGCTGAGGCATGGGGGATGTTTTAGTTAGGCATTAACGTATCACAGCTGAAACTGTTAATCTGACAGGAGGAGGAAAATATATTAACCTATTCAATAGTTTGAGCAATTTTTTTTTTTTTTAATTGCATCAAATGTTTTCTTTTCCCTACCCTACTTCTATTTCAGGTACTTAGAGCACATATATTGCCACTGACTAACGTAGCATTTAACAAAGCGGGTTCCCGGTAAGTTGTTTTCAAAGTCAAAATACATAATCACTAATCAAAGTTTTGTAGTTGTAATTTAAATTGTAAGGGAATTTCAGTGCTTTTGCTGCAAAAAGAATTCATCGATGCTGCTTCTAAACAGCTTCAAGCGTGACTGGGGATTAGATTTCAGGCCTTTGTTGGGGAACCAATGGGAGATGCAGAAAAGTAGTGGCAGGAATTCAATTTATGTAATTTTTTTCTTCCAAGGTGATAGTTTGTTGACAATTACCATATTTCAGAAAGAAGCATCTTTATGGCAATGAAGTGAATATTACGAAAAGATAAATGAGTCTTTGACATAAACTCATTTGGGACTTTCATTGTAGTGGAATTTCACGTTAATTGATTTCACTCTGGGTATATGCCTAATCATTTTTTCCATCACGACTTGAAAGCAGCAACTTGCTTTTTGGTTGAAATACAGTAAAGATTAGAAAGAAGGCTTTTTTTATGAGTAATTTTTTTTTTTTTTGAAAAAAGAGTCCTCTGTGATCATTAATCTCTTTTTTTGAAAGAAAGAAGAGATGTAGGGTCTGAGATAGTACAGACTGAATCTGTGGAAATTATTCATTTGACTGTGCACCAGGACCAGTAAGATATCCACCATACTGAGAAATTAATTTCTCTTTGCTTTAGCTTTATCACTGGAAGCTATGACAGAACCTGCAAAGTATGGGATACTGCATCAGGAAAAGAGCTACATACGCTGGAGGGACACGGAAATGTTGTCTATGCAATAGCTTTCAATAATCCCTATGGGTAAATATATTTTCTCTGAGATCCATCATAATTGCTAATCATGTTATTTTGCAAATACAGAACTGTTACTCAAACTTTAACATAAAATAGACCATCTCAAATTGAAAGAGTTCAATTTCTGAATTTGTAAGTTTCAGCTTCAACATGGGACGATACTATGTTTTTTATAGAAGATACATGCAAGTATGTTTTCTGCTATAATTGTTTAAAATGAAATTTAGAAAATCAAATTGTAAATTTCATTAGGTATTCAGTGTCTTGAAAAATACATATATGAGTCAGTTTAATATACTGAAACACAGATTTATTTCGATAATATCTACATGATCAGATTGTGTTCTGAATGTTAACCATTCTTTACCACCTCCATGTAATTGTATACGATGTGAGATAAGTACTTACAACAGCTTTTATTGCTTCAATTCAGGAGAAAGAACGCTTCTGTCATAACAAAAGTGGATTTCTTAATTTGGTATTACACATTCGTTATTATTTAGGATATGATATAGAAGTATCACGGCTGTTGAGTGATGTTTATAAATTCCACAGGGTGTCGCTGTGTGAATGTCAGATATGAATCTGTGCACCTTTTGTTTTCTGCAGTAACTGTTTGCCCTAGGTTAGAATTGCCACCTGTTAGGTGACGGAAACATGCTAGCTACTGAAGTTTCATTATCATTTGCTTCCTGAGAAAGCTCTTGTGTGTAAGCAAACCGTTGTGCTTCTCTGTAAAATAAGAGAAATTAATCGTTATTTTTATATTGAATCACATTATTCACTGTCAGGTGTCCTGTTTATCAGTTAAGCAATACACAGTTAACACCAGGAAATAAATGCTAAAGACTTGTTCTTATGCTATTTGGAATATCACCGTTTCCTTCTAAATGAAAAGACTTTATACAACCCAGAACTCACTATGTCAATGTTTTATATTCTGATGTTATTCTCTACTTTAAAAAAAGCAAATAATGAAGTTCTTTTATACACTTTGAAGAGACTAATGTATGACAGAAATCTGTGCAAAGATCAATAACCAGATTGTAACATAAAAGTGGAGAAATAATACATAGCAAGTGAAAACCTGATGAGAACCTTGAGCTACTTTAATTTAAATGGTCATTAAAAAAAGAACTTTGTTTTCTGCTAATCTTTAGGTTTTGATACAGTGTCAATTGCTACATTTTCTGAATACCTCACTTCAGTCTTGCTCTAACTGCAGTTGGTCAAAACACTTCCACTGACTTCAGTGGCAGTGGAGTTTGACCTCTGAAATTTGGGTAAACTGTTTATAAAAAAAAGTTTATAACTGTTGATAAACAAACAGACACTATCCGATTAAATGACATAACTTTTAAATACATCTGGAAGTATAACAGATAACCTCATCCCTAATGTAGGTTAGTCATCAGTTATGAACACTTCTGTGCTAACAGATAGGCACAGTGGCTGTTTTAGAAACTAATTATGTGTGCTATTATTTTCCTTTAATGTAACTTCTGTTGGTGAAATCCTGCTCCAGGATCTTGTAGTGTGGCAGAATGCACCAAAATGCATTCAAGCATCGATGACTGGGTATTGTTTCTGTGAGTTCTACTGTCTTTGAAGTCAGAGATTTTTTTCAAAAGAAAAATGACAGGATTTTTTCCGTTTAGTGACAAGATTGCCACTGGATCTTTTGATAAAACCTGCAAACTGTGGAGTATGGAAACAGGAAAATGTTTTCATACTTTCAGAGGACACAGTGCAGAAATAGTGAGTATTGATGGATGTTTCTTATTCCTTTATGTTTCCATACACCATCATTAATGGCTGTGGGTTCCAAGTCCCTGTGAGCTGATTTTGGCAGGGACAGCTATTCTGCTGCATTTATTCACACATTCAGACATTGTGAACATTTCTGCACTGCAAGAAAAGATAGCTGACAGTTCTTAAGAAATAGAATAAAACATTCTATACAGTTTGAAAGATATTTTTATTTTTAGTATGTTCCAATTTCCCTTAATTGCTAAATGTTAAAACATTTTGAAAAATACCATAATAATTGGAATTTTCAATGTATTGCACATATGTAAACAGACCATGGAACAAATATCTCATTTTTTCTAGATATCTTGCATTGCCTCTCATTTGCAGATCTAAATACACAAGATCATCATTTCTTGTATTGCTGTCTTTCAAGCTGAGATCTGTACTTCATGTACAGGACCAATTGGAGTCATAGAAGAATGAATTTCTGAAATTTTAAGTGTGTTAGCTGAGCATATGTGGGATGCTAAAATGTCAAAGATATATGAAACAAAAAGAGTCTAAGCTTAAAAATGGTTGGTTTCCTTTCCAATGCACTAGGAGCCCTGTTAGCAATAGCAAATATCTTGATGCACAGCATTCTGGTTGAAAAGATCAGGGCAAATCCACTGAAACTTCTAATTTCAGTGCAGAATATATTTTTTGAACAAAAATAGCTATACAATCATTATTCAATAAAGCATTTCTGGAAATTGTATCTGGAAACAACTGGAATTTAATTTGTAAATTGTGAGGCCTATAACTAGCGTGAGAAAACAGTGGTTTACCTTGGTGGAAGGTGAGCTTGGTTTCAGTGGGTTTTTAATTCTCTGGGTACTTTGAAACAGTTATCCCTTACCATGGAGAACATGTTTGCTTATTGAGACAGGCTGTAGTGATTTTGCTTACACATATCAGTTAGCTAAATATTTAAAGGTTCTTGAATTTCTTTTGTTTAGATTACACCCAAAGTGTTAGGAGTTGTTCCAGCAAGTAACTAGTAGAAGATAATAGCCAGCAGAAAATAATGTGTTTCTCTGAATGGGATCTGTTTCTAACAGAAGGCCATTACTGCATATGATACATTGCTGGCAAGGGCATGTCCATAGTTATTCAGTATGAAAAAAGGAAATGGACATAGTGACAACACACCAGTGACATGAGCTACTGTTTTCCTTTTTACATGACATCTCCTGTTCTTTTTTAGCAGAACAATCATATTTAATAATTACAAAGAATGGGAAGATGACTCTATGATTTTTTTTTTAACATGAAAAATGAATTAAGGAAATTATTGGGTTTTTGTTCTTGCTTTTTCATAAATAAATATGATGTTGTGGGGATGCCCTTGGCCAAGGTCCCAGATAATGACACCTGTTAAGATGAGAGTGTGAGTGTATAGAGTGTGTTTGTGGCTACACAAAACTGGAGGGTCTTTGCCCAAAACTGATCAAGGTAAAGAGGAAGCCTACCAAATGATAGTGTTAGGAGGACTGTCAGTCGAATTGAACAGTAACTGGAGAATCTCAAAGAGAATTTTGAGATAAAGAAGTAGAATTTTGAAATAAAGAAAAAGAAAGAAGTAGAATATAAAAGAATCAAGACAATTTCTGACAGGATTGGGAAGACATTAGCCTGGAAGCAGCAGTTGTCAAAACCTGTTCTACTGCTTTCGGAAGTCACCCTGGGCATCACAGTTGCTGCCTAGGCCAGAGAGCGTAGCCTTCCTTTTGGACACACCATGAGGAGTCTGCATCCGGCTAGTGGATTGTCAGTACGGGTTCAGTAAAAAGGCCCCCTGTCCCTCCTCCAAGACGTGCATATGTGAATTTGGATGTGTGGATCAGCAGATTGTAGGAAGTGGCATGCGTTCGACTAAAGCTGGAGCACTCGCGTCTCCTAGGGGAGGTGCGTGCAAGCGGGGGCACCCATACTCCTAGAAAAGGGGAGTGCGCTTGTAACCCACTCATCCTGTGAGAAAGGATGAGTGTGCATGCAGGAGTGTGAATGTGTGTGTGATTAAAATTTCTTTGAGTTAGAGGAGGAAGGTTAGAAATATGTAGCTCTTTATTAAGATTGTGTAAGTTTATTCATTGTATTGCAGATTCTGATATTGAATATATTGTTTTCTGCCAGTTAACTATGCGCTGTCAATAAATAAATAAACAAACTGCTTCAGTCTTGATTTTCATTAAAACTTTCTGAACTAAATAATTTCTTCCTGTGACAGAAAATGAACTACCTAAATAGTGAATTTTAATTCAGGCTCAGAAAACAATAGAAGAGATCTTCCAATAAGTCTTTTTAATGCATTGCCATGCAAAGTAGCACATTAGTCCATTTGATTTGAATAGTCATCCAAAGCTACATGATAAGGATTTGTTGCTCTTCCAGTGAGGTGTTGGAAGAACTGCAGTTTTTCTATATGCCGTAAAATATGAAGTCAGACTTTTGTCTTGTTTAAAAATATTAACCTTGATCCATTGTTTTTGAGAAAATGTATATAAATACCCTCCTTTCCTCCTTTTTTCATCCAATGTTTCTTGCTACAGGTATGTTTATCATTTAATCTTCAGAGCACATTGGTGGCAACTGGAAGCATGGATACCACTGCCAAACTATGGGATATAGAGAAAGGAGAAGAAATAGTCACTTTATGTGTATGTTTGCCTTCCGTATGTTTTTAAAGGTGTTCCTTGCTTTCTTAGTTTTCTAACTGAGATAAATAACAGTATAACCATTACAACAGTTTCAAAACTTGCACAGTTTCTTTTACCAGGTGGTTCCACAGTGACTGCAGTTATATAACAGGTTAAGAAAACTTGGCAGGAATGATAAAGCTATGATATTTTATAAGTCTTATGTATCAAAAGACACATCTTCTCATTTCATTGACATTACTGCTATAGAACAGAATGCCTTCCATAGCTCATTAAAACATGTTGCTATACTGTGAATTACGACCTCCTCTGCATTAACATTAATGTCAGACACTGCATCTCTATGGATCTTCTTCCTGCTAACATCAGCAGAGGACAGCCATCCATTTATCTCTAGACTGTGATGTCTCTTTGCTCGACGTGCCTTGCTGGGATTCTGCAGGTGCAGATTGGACTGTGCTATTTCAATGCATTTCTCTCGCATAAATCCTAAATAACAGTTAGTTCATAAGCTTCCTTTGGTCTGTGTGGCCTATAGAGTGAGGAAGGTGTTCTCTCGTCCTAGACTTTCTGTTCCTCAGAGCCCTGAGCAGAACTAAGAGCAGTGGAATGTGTGAACCTTTAGCTTATAAGTATGCCTACATTCATTTTTCCAACCCTCTCCACCAACACCAGTGACAAGTAGTTTACTGTAAATGAATCATCTGATTTCAGTATGTATCGGTGAACAAATGTGATTCTGTTCAAATCAAATATGGAAAATATGCACTGATGACATCACCGGACAATTGCTCATTGCTTAAGTGATGCGCCTGATTTTTTGCAGTTGTTGGGATATTGACTATTCCACAGTTCAGTAAATCTGTCTGTCAAAATTGTGATATACTGGACAAGACAGTAAATAATATATTGAAGGGTTATAGAAGGATGATGCTGCAGAAGAAAAAAATTGAAATACGTTAATGGAAAAGTCATAATTTGCATTCTCATACTCCTTTTTAAAAATTCTCTCAGGGGCACTCAGCAGAAATTATTGCATTGTCTTTCAACACCACTGGAGATAGGATTATCACTGGCTCCTTTGACCATACAGTAGCAGTGTGGGATGTTGGCACTGGCAGGTACTAAAGTACTAATAAATATCATTTTATGTTGCATGTTTTAAAGACAATGAAAGCGATAAAGTTGAGCTATAAATTACAGACCTTGTATTTTTACTTCATTTAGAGTATGTGTTCCTTCATCTTATCATTTGTTACTCCTATTCCCTTTGTTCTTCTGAAAAGGAAAGCTGCTCATGAAATGCTTTTATATATGTTTTTTGTTCTAAATTTCTGTCTTATGAGCACTGAGGAGGCAGACAGAATGGACAGATCCTGTGTTTGTTGCTGTTGATTTCTCCTAACAGTAAAATATTTTATCAACATGGAAACTCATGGTTTGGAAGTGTTCAGAATTTCTAGATGAAACAGACTGTTTAAGTAGAAAGAAAGTATATTTTATGTCATAGAAACTTCATCTGGTCACATTGTCTTTAAAAACTATAGAGGGTCTGTTTTCCTTCTCGCAATCCTTTGTCAGTACAAATTTATAAAGAGGAGAAAATATGGCCCATCTAACTGCAGAGGACTGTGGCATAATATGGCACGGACTCAACTTGTGGTGCGAGACAAAAATGTTTTCATTATGATGCCAACAAGTAATAATGTAGTAGCTAAATATGAACTTGTTGCATTATCCTGACAAATCCACTTGTGTTTTTCAAATAGAAACTGAGCATAAGTAGAATAATAAAATGATTGCCATGATTACTGACAAAGTAATTTATGAAGATAATGATTCTATTATGTTTGCAGAGGTCACATCTTTTTTCTTTTTGTGAGAGCAAGGGGAATATCTCTGAAATTTATATTTAAAAGGAAAGTGTGTGTGTAGTGATATTTTGGGGTAATAAACAATGTATATCACTTCAAAACAAGAGTAATCAAGTGATTTAAAAATAATGTACACATAGTACATCATTTAAGGCTTGATCCTGTAAGCTTTGAGCTTACTTAACACCAGCAGTTTAATGTTTGGTACATAAATACTTCGGAGACACTCATTCAGCAAATTGGACCTTTCGATTCAACTTCATCCAGCCTGCTGTTCTGGCAAATATTTTTGTTTGAAAACAGCTTCTTTTTCAAGCTTCTTGTCTGAGCCTGCAGTGAAGTCAAAGTCTTTGGATTTTCATGTTGCGTTCTTTCTTCCAAGAAGTGAATGCAGACTTGATACCACAGTCAATACTAGGAAGTGGAATATGAAGGAGAAAATTCTCGTTTACACACTGGCAGCTCTGGTAATTAGCTAGTGGGCAATGTAATTGTGCCAGGGCCAACATTCAGCCTTTTAGATGGCAGTTGGACATCCATATATTTAGTAACAATGAAAAGTTGTAGTCAGAAAGACTGTGAGCAAATTATACTTTGCTGTACACAGCTTCAGGCAGATTTGCAAAAATTTTGTAAATGAGGTTGTGTGTGCCTGTATTTGACCATGTGAAAAACATGAGAAACACTGCTTTCCAAATTTGAGTTTGAACTTGAAGTTTCTTTTAATTTTGCTGTCTGACTTTGATGAGTGTCTATGTTCCTCAGTTTTATTCTGGGCAGTATTCCTGAAGGAAGCTGATGTAGGGACAAGAAATCTCCAGGAGGTTCAAGATTTTCTTCATAAAATGTTAAAATTTAAAAAAAAAAGTGGGAGAGGGAGGGGAACATGCTTCTGTGATACAGGTCTGTATTTCATCAATAATTTCTCAATGGCAGATACAGTCAGCTATGGTTCAGCTGAATGTGTCTTCAGAGCTTCGTTTGACAAATCAACAACCAGTACCTGGGGTCAGGAGTGCTGGACACTAGGATGCTGAGAGAGAGACTGCTTCTTCTCATTTGCAATTATGGTGCAAATATTAGCGCATCCATATGTGAAATTTCACTGGAAATGGAGGGCTAAAGCAATGTTATCAGGACTGAAGCTGATTTGGGGGGGAATTTTTTTTTTAATAATGGAAAATTTTTATGGCATTTCACAAGCATTTTTTCTGGGTTCTTTCTGATTGTGTATCTGATAGATGTGGTTTCTGTGAGATGCTCCACACGTTGCTATTTATTCTGCTTATTGATTGGATATTTAAGTTGGAGCTTGAAACTTGCACTGCCTTTTCAATATTTGGAAACTAAAGCTTTTAAATTAAAACTTTTCCATCATTAGGTATGTTAGGCACTAGGTATTACAATAACAGCAGTCTTCATGGCCAAATAATATGTTCACAGAATTAGGAAGTTTTCTGGTATTGTTTTCTGCTTGCTGATTTCTGTTTTTACTGTAAAATCATCTACACAATTACAACAATGCAAGCCTCACACCATTAGAAAGTAAAAGGAATAATTCTGTGAAATGACATGAGTATAATCAAGGTTTTGTTATCATAAACAAATAGAAAGTTCAATTATTCAGGAGATTTACTTTGCTGTTCATTTAGCACAGATATTAATTTAGCTACTCTTATGTATCTTATGCAATGAATAAAACCAGTTCTGTCACTTAAATTCATTTAGTTGTTTTTTTTAGTTGTTAGTTTATCCGTTAGTTAAAGCAGTCTTTCTGTTAATGATAGTGGTATTAGCATTGTAATAATAACCTAATTTACTAATCTTTTAAAATATATATAAATTAATCTTTTTAGGGTTCGTTGCCTTATAGGCCATTAATTCATAGGAAGAAACAATGGCTAATTGTATCCTCTCTATTCAGCTAAAGCTGAAGATTTTAATGGAACTAGTATTGCCAGCCTTGTGCAGCAAGAAGTTTAGGATTAATGAGGATTAGAAATCGTGTTTCAGTTTGCCTGTCATTTGCCTGTTCCTTGGGAACATGCTCACATTAAGTACCTGATTAAGTTCCATTTGATCTTCAGTGGATTTTATAAAAGGTTTAGATTATATGGAGTTTTAAAGATGTACTGTTTATGGTTCATTGAAGTGGGATAATGGGAGACGAATGTGGAAAAACTTGCTGTATGTGCTTTGTATGTATATGAATACAAGGAATCTGTCGCTGGCACTGGAAAGTCATCACGTTTCACTGGTAATACATTCACTAAAATATTTTTAAAAGAGAAGGGAGGACTTTTCCATTTTATTCCTTACTGCCTCTCTGTCTCAAAGATAAAAAACCAGAATTGACGTAGTACTAGAATCCTAAATGAGCTGTACCACTCCATTTAATTGCTTTAGTGGATAAAACGGTGAAGACTTGACACCTTAGCTATACCATTTTATAAACTTACTTATAATTTATAGGCGTATATCAAAATGCACACTAAAAATGTAAATTCACTTTTTTGTAGGATGTTACATGCTTTAATAGGTCACCGAGGAGAGATTAGCAGTGCACAGTTCAACTGGGACTGTTCTCTCATTGTCACTGGATCGATGGACAAAACATGCAAGGTAAGAAAGCGGAGTATGTACTGAATGTAGCTACTTGGTATATAAAAATGTATCTTTTCTAAATGGAAAAGCATTATTTTAAACTAGTACATTTAATTCATTAAAGAATTTACAACTAAATGCAAAACCTATAAGCTTATTCATTTCAGTGAAGTCCAGTTAAATAACAATGTATATTTTAAGGTTCATTTAATCAACACACTGAAATAGAAAATATATATGACTTCAATAGAAAATATATAGGACTTCATTAAACTGACTAAACAGTGACTCTTTATTGACTTATGTCCAGGTTTCATGTTAATACATTGTAAGACATCAGAAAGGGCATATATATGTTGCTTAATGGATCTAGTAGATATCTATCAAGTAAATTAGTCAAAATAAATGAAAAAATTACCTTTATTTACCTATGCAGCTGTGGAATGCTATGACTGGGACACATATAACAACTTTAACAGGTCACAGTGATGAAATATTGGATGTCTGCTTTGATTATGCTGGCCAGCGTATTGCAACTGCCTCTGCTGATGGTGAGTGAAGGGGCTGGGACTGCTATAAGGTTTGCAATAGTAGCATAAAACATCTTTGTCCTTTTTGTTTGGTTTTGCTTTGAATATAGCTTGATGAAAGAGAAGTATTATGACTCAAAACTATAGATCAAGCAATGTTTGTTGCACTATAGAAAGTTTAGCATTAAACTTTAGAAGTTTTCTCCAGTGAAAATTTTCTTATATTTCACACTTTAATCAACTCAGTATGTCTTTCCCCTTAAACTTCAAACTTG